TCCATTCATGACCGCAGTGTATGTATTTGAAAGCCAATTTGATCCAGCACAATGTCTTGTGGGGCAAAGCGGTGTGCTCCTTGCCTTTCGTCTTTTGGTGCTGACCTAGGACTACAGTAATTTCAGTTATATTATGCTGGTTCTAAAGCCACGTCATTTTCTTCGAGTCGCTGTGTTATGACAATCTTTGAAAAGGAAGCAGTAGGACAGCAGATCTTGCTTCTCCCTACTTCTTCATGTTGTCAGGTGCCAGTGATTTAGAGGAGGTTCCTACTCGGTGAAAAATCCGATACTCCTTGACCAAACGACCAGCTTATCTTTCAATTAGTGATATTGTCAGCTCTTCCTTTCCTTTCAAATCTTTCATGTGCGGACACTCCTAACCTCATTTCTTTCGAAAGCACTCCAAACGTAGCGCCAAAGTGAAACGGAACTTGGGAGTCGATAGTGTGGGTCCCGCAACGAATTGCTTGATTCACAAGCTACATAGTTCACAAATGTCCAAAAGCTTGACAAATGTCACGCGACAACTCGGCCGGCGTTTTTTCAGGGTGTAGATCTAGACGACAGCTTCTCATACAAGCTTTGAGTTTATTATTTAGCACATAAAAAAGTATATTTTTATTTCTTCGGCGTTATGAATAATTGCGAATTGGATGTGTGATTAGACTAAAAGTAGCAGTTTTTCATCGTTGGCTTGCGCCGCCCTTGTCCGCATCTCGCTTCTTTCGTTGCTCCGCTCGCTGAAAATAGTTGACTGACTGACATATGTAACACATCTTCTGAGCATTTCACCATCATCATTTGCAGTGACGTAAACTTGTTCCGAGGTTCGCCTTTTCCTACCGTGAACAGCTTTGCCTTCGTAAGCTTGGGTTTCCCACCCGGCCTAGACAATTCTGGGCGGACATTGATCTGAAGCTCCTTCGTGGGGACGAATTTTTGAAGCCTTTCGATTAGTTCGTGGATTTCGTTCAGTTTTACCATGGCACCTTCCCTATCAGTGTTGACAAGAGCATTGACGTTGGCAGAAAACACGGTATATGACTGAAAAGACTATTTTATAACCGTGCAAGATACTATTTGAACCACTTACGGTTTGGATTTTGTTCCTCAGTACTTTTCTCAACTCTAGTTGCTCCTGGGTATATACGATTGGGTCTGCAGCAGCTAGCTGAATGTTGCACTCAACTTCTTGTGCTAGCATTCTTGAGTCAGCTTCTTCATCCCTAGCTAGTGATGACGTAGCTGCTGCGCTCTCACTTATTTTAACGGCACGCCTATGAATACAGTATACGTCTGCTCTATTATCTAAGCACGTGCATGTCCATGTATATAAACACACGCCGCATTGAGGGCAATGAACGTTGCCTGCAGGTCCTGGCTTACACCCACATTTGCCAAGACCCTCAACCAGATAAGCCTTCTCTGAAGTCTTCCCCTGCACCTCCCACTTCTACCTTCTATGCTTCTAATATGCTTCTAAGATGTACCTTATTATCGTTCAGTCTGCTAGATCTTCGCCGCTCTTATCAATAGCCCGACCAAGCAATCAACTCTGGAGTTGGCATTCCTGTGGAGGATTTCATTTCTCAAACGCAGATGCTTGCGTTCGCTCAACATAGTAGTGTTCATCACTGCTCCACGACCGGCGAATGAAGCCCGGCAATGGTATTCTGCTTGAATAAGACGGAGTAATCATTAAAGGGATACTACGAATATCTAACTTGCCTAAATAAATTGTTCTCAAATACTGTGCCATTACTCGTTGACCTTCAACAACTAATAGCGCCAGAACTTCTCCAAATTTCAATTGGAACTGCTGCAGCTGCATAATCCGCAGTAATCCATGGAGGTCATCCCGGACGCGATCGCGTACGCGAGCCTAAATAATTACCTGTTTTTTTGCATTTCTGCTTACCTCGACCAACTAACCTCTGCTAACTCTTTCATTTTTCTTTCCCATGTCTTGCTTATTTGCCACCTGCAGTAGCGTGGTACGGCTTTCAATCCAAGAATACAGCTCCGAACTCTTTAATGAAGCGAGGGGCTTCATCATTAATAATCTGAGCGAGATTGAAACTGGGAAAAAAGTTTCCTAATTTGCCCGAGCAGCTTCTCCACATCACTAGTGGTCATGGTGCCACTAAGAAGGAAAGTTCAATATTACAAATTGTAATTATTATTAGTAATCAACTTCCTATTATTTGACCTGCTGGCGGCCCTCGATCACGTTCATCCGCGACTACAACAGTAGCCAACTTCAAACTGTATCTTGTGGCACCGTGAGTATCATCGATCGAGATGTCGCGACCGGAATTTGAGCCATTTGAGTTGGGTGGGCGTTATTATTACTGAAACTAATGAAGCCCTTTCTTCAAATCATAGAAATACCACTAAATTCAAGTAATTGTTAATTAAATGCGCTTTCTGTATTCTGTGCATTCTCACCCAGAGGGAACCCTTTCCCGTTTGGGTCTTCTGCCATCGAGTTTTATCCCATTATCGGCATTGTTTTCGTCCGCTCGCATTTGCAAAGATGTGAAATCATTGTTGTTGTGGAATTCAGGTCTCATTCCTTACTTTTCTATTATATCCCAAAGATCGGCTTCAATAACAGAGGGAAGCCGCGAAAGTTCTAGTGAAAAGTCGTTTCTCACTCGACGAATGACATATTCCAAGTGCGCTAAATTTCTACTTTGCAGCTATCAGGCAGCAGTTCTTGAATGAGTCTGAATTACCTTCTAGTAAGCGTCTCGAATGCTGCTTCTGTTCTTCCGTTAGGCTCAAAAGAGCAGGTTCGACATCGTGCCTTATGTGTCCGAAGCATCCTTTCATCTGCACAGTGCCATCATCATTTACAGTGTAATTGGTGAAGCAGGAACAATCAGAAACATCCTTCCTGCTCATTCTTGTACGTACTGTGCTTACACTTTGAAATAGTCCCGATCTGTTACATCTGCAGGTAATGACCTTTGAAAATTCGGAGCTCTTCAACAATAAAATCTCACTTTACCTCAGGTTATAAGACTTTCCCATACAAGCTCGCTGATACAGCGAACTTACAGTCTCCTCACACTGCTCGCGTAGGGAAACCTGAGGAAAATTGATTCTCAATGATGTTGCACCCACTGTAATAAATTTGCACCTCAAACTCGTCCTTAGTCTGGGATGTTAGGGAGTAGACGGTATAGCTTTGCTCTACACCGTTCGCGCCTGCATCATAGTGTTTTTCGTAGCAGTGGTTGGCGAGATTTTCATGGACAAATCTGTCGTCACAGGCAGGACAGGAGACTGCCATTCTACTGGTACGCGATTGACTCTCCTTCCTATAGTCGTCAGTCATTCTATTTATTTCATTTTGCGTGTACTTGTGCACGTCGATCATATGCCTGTAGGGATTTCTGCGGAGCACCATTGTCTCGCAAATATGGTAGGAAGCCTGTTCCCTGCTTTTTTGCGGCACCTGCCACATTTCTACAGACTAATCAGTGCGAAAACATGGGCCATGTAACCTATTTGATGTACGCATTTGCGTATTTAACTAGCTGGATGCCAGTGTTTCAGGTAGAACGGTTCGATTAGATGAGAAGAGCAACAAGGTGTCCTATGAATTTGCAAATCATGATAAATCTAGGAGTAAAAGTAACTGTGAATCAGTTCGATGATCCCCAATAAACGAATGAATAAAAAATGTGCGAAAACCATTGTAGGATCGATAAAATACCACTGAGATTTGGGCCCACTCTATGAAGTTGTTCGAAAAAGCCAATGAGATAAAGAGACGATAATCAAGGAACGCAGGAAATTGGGTCAAAGTTACAGAGTTACTTCACGTAGAGTGGTAAGGAGGATAAGCGGTCGGATGGGTACGATTATGATGATTCTTGGTCTTAAATACTCTTTTCACCATGCTTTTCCAGGGTTCTTGTAGTTGAGTAGATCAAAAACATGTTTTCTGTTCAACAAAAACAAACAACATATTTTCTCCTTTTTGGGATCATGGGATCAGAACATGTTCTCCGCCTTTTGAGATCATGAGATCCGTGCATGAACGAAAGCTGCAGGGGTCGCAACAGTAAGGAGTGAAGGATATATGTTAGGGGCAAGTGGCTTCTCATTTTCGAAGTGAAGACAGAGGGTTTACATACCTCAGTTTGTAAAACCACTATGACACTCGAAAACGATAGAAGTAGAGATATATGTCAGGGGCAAGTGGCCTTCTCATTTTTGAAGTGAAGACAGATGGTTTACAATACATCAGTTTGTAAAACCACAAGGACACTCGAAAACGATAGAAGTAGAGATGTTGAGCGGTCGTATCTCTATTCCTATCGACTAAACCTCAGTTAAAAACGATAAAAAAATCGAAAGTTGAAATCGTAAAACGTACCTTTGCTCCTTCATACAGCTTGTATAAGAATAAACGGTTTCGAGCGGCACTTGATGCATAAGAATGCAGATAGTATAGCGAATACAGAATCATTGAATAGAAGAAGAACGTGGGAAGGTAGACGAGTAGTTGCCGATTCCGTTAGGCACAGGATGAGTCGAATGAGCAGAAGGTGAGCGGAGTTAAACAGAAATGGTTCTCGTGGAAAATGAGCCTGTTGCCTTCAAAGTGACGAATTCGCTCACACACTGGCAACGGGCCAAGAGGCAAGCACACGACACGCGCCGGAGAGCCCCTATATTTTTGGGCCGTATGCATAACGCCCAGGGTAGGGAATGGGAGAGATTACCCAAGGAAATGTTTGTTTTCGCCGTGGGTCAGAAATGTGACGCCGGAGCAGAGTTGTAGTTCGGAACCCTGGTTACTAGAAGTAGAACCGTTACAACGGCTGGCACAGTAA